TGTGTGTGTGTGGTGTGTGTGTGTGTGTGTGTGTGTGTGTGTGTGTGTGTGTACAAGCCATGCACACGTACAGAAGTCATAGGATAGTTTACAGGAGTTGTCTCTCCCCTTCTACCATGTGGAAGTCAGAGTTCAAACTCAGATTAAAATGTTTGGTGGCAAACATGATTACCTGCTGAACCATTCCACAACCCTTTGTTTTGTTTTGGAGTCAGTGTCTTCCTGTGTAGCACAGACTGACACCAAATGCCAGCAATTGTTCTGTGTCTTGAGAACACAGATTTACAGGTATGTGTCACCAAGCTTGGCTGTCTCCTCAATGAAAGTGACTTTGGTCGTTATTGACCAATTTGTTGGAATTTTGTTCTTGGTCATAATTTTATAGTTTGTTTTCTACTGTGTTTCTTTTGTTGAGAATTTCAGCTTGTTTTGCTTTTCTAATTTTACTCTTTCATGGCTTCTTGTTCATATTAAAATCTCTCTTCTGTAATATTGCTCTTGAAGAAATCAATGTTTCATAAGAGAAATTTCACTATATTTTTATAATTCTTAATTGTGAAAAGCCACTATGAGAAACTTTGTCTCATCATTAATTAGAAATGTGCCTCATATTTAGAACTTACCTGCTTCAAAATTTTGATAAACTGGAAGGAATTTTCTTTTTTTCCCTCCATTTTTTATTTAAATTAGAAACAAGATTGTTTTACATGCCAATCCCAGTTCCCTCTCCCTCCCCTTCTCCCCTGCCTCCCACTAACACCCTACCTATCCCATACCATTTCTGCTACCCAGGGAGAGTGAGGCCTTCCATGGAGGGGTCGAGGCCTCCTCGCTGACACCCACATTCATGGGGTCTGGATCAGTTCCATGCTGGTTTCCCAGTGATCAGTCTGGGGGCCAAGGTTGACAAATGACTGTGGATATGACTACTGTGAATGGAGAACTTATTTTATGTTATATTTAATTTTTAATTAATTTTAATTTGAATAGCTACAGTTTGAATGTCTTAGGCAAGAATGGCTAAGGGCTACCGCAGCTACTGTGTAGACATCTCAGCTTTAAATACTTTTTATTTTTATACTTGGAAATATTAGTAAAGTTCTGAGGAAATTTCCCAAGTAGATCTAAGAATATAAGCCTTCTGAACTCACAGAGGAGGGTATGTGAGTAAATGCCTATGTTGATTCTCCAGGTTAAGTGTTTCCATAACCTAAGAGAGTCATCTGCTGACAGAGGTATGGTGTACAAGTATCCAGGTTCCATTTGATGTTAAACTCCTGTCTTCCAAGTCTATGATTTACTATTTGTTCACTTATTTTGAGGTACACAATATCTAATGAAACATTATTAGTGGTTGGCATATCAATTTTGTCATTATTAAATTCTTTTCTTCATCTCCAATAATGGTTATTGTCGTATTATGACAGAACACTATTATATCATTTTTCATTTTTTTACTTTTTATCTTTCCTTTTGGCTTTGTTGAGAGTTTCTTATTAATTTGAGAAAGTTGAAATATAATCCCCATATTTAATTTAAATTGAATATTATTTAGCTTATATTTAATGTATTATTAGATTACTGTTATATTTATAAGTTGCTTGTATTATTAGAATACTGGAATATTTATGTTGCTTGCATATATAATAAATTCCAACTTTCATTTAATTTTGAATACTACTCTCTCATGAACTCTACTTTTCTGTCTCTTTGTCTTTTCGCAATATTTTCATTGATCATATTCCATTACATGAATTTGTTAATTTCACTTAAATTTGTTAATTTCCCTTTAAATATTCTTCAATTTATGTCTCTCATTTTACAACATAATTCTTTACTCATTAAAATCCAATAAGTAAATTAGTAATTTTCTTCTTTGTTAAACAACTAAAAGTTCCAACAACCTTTTACTTTTTTGTGTGTGTTTCAAGACAGGGTTTCTCTGTGTAACAATCCTAGCTGTTCTGGAACTCATTTTATAGACCAGTCTGGCCATGAACTCACTGCCTGCTTCTACCTCCCAAGTGCTGGGATTAAAGGCATGTATCACTACTGCCAGACTCAAAATTCTAATTTTATTCATTGTTTATTCTACTTTCGTTCAGAAATGGTATGATGTACTGTATCTCATTCTAACAAACTTTTAAATTTCATATTTTGTCATCAATATTGTACCCATTTACTACCTATTTAAAGTCATCCAACAGCTCCTTCTGCTCTTCCTATTTGTATGTCTAAGTCTGTTATTCACAGGAATTTATCTTTATAACTTCAAATGTTTCCTTTAGTGATAGTTAAGTGATGACTCTCTTTTTGCTAATTCCTGAAAAATGAATTTTGGCATCAGAGTAAAAAATATATTTACTTGCAAATTATTCATCTTTTAAATGTTAACATTTCTTTAACAAGAGCCAAAGGAAAGTTATTTTAACAGTGCTATCCTGAGAGATGGATAACTTGAAAAAATGTAATTATTCTTTTAATATTATTTTTTAAAATAATTTTCCATTATTTAAAAGGATACATTTCTAACTATTCTTGTTATATTAAGTCATTTGCTTGTTTTTTTTAAATATTTTTGCTATATCATTGTCTAAACATAGATTTCATGGACTTACATGCCAGAAAAGAGAAAGTCCACATCATTGCATATAATAAAAATATGCTCCATATAATATATATGTAGGATTATATAATTTAAAAGTTCTAGTCAATGTCGATACTTGTAATAGATATAACTATATCAAACAAGAAAAAGGAACATTACTGAATATGACATGGTTTGCATTATTTGACAGTTTTAAATCTTAAGTGTACTAATATGTAAGGAAAATGAGTTGAGCATGTAGAGTACGTATATGGAACACGTAAAAATAAGATTCTGTTTATAAAAATAAAGTATAATTAATAGAAATATCAATAGTTCATTGTAGGAGGCATGCAGGTCCTTGTGCTTACAGATAAGCACTAGAACAACCAGTAATGCTAAACTCACCGAGTGTTCCCTTCAGAGTGATGACCTGTGTTTCCACCCAGAAGGCTGGGAGCAAGGATGGGAAATAGCCTGGTGACTTTTTCAATGTCTATGTGGCCAAAGCCATACTGGATCCTCCCCAGATCCTTATCTTAAGCCTGTTTTCTTAGTTAATCTATTGAACCTATTCTTATTGACACATGTCACTTGTACTTTATATAAAGAGTTTAGATATATTCATGTCTCCTCTTAGCTTTCCTCCCCAGCATCCTCTCTCCCACACACCCCCTTTCCTCTTCAGAAAAGAGCAGGCATCCAAGACAAAACAGAACAAACAAGGACAAATCAATATTCACTAGAAGGCAAAAGCTCTCATACAGAGGCTGGATATGGCAACCCAGTAGGAGGGTGTCTTAAGTTTTGTTGTACACATGAGGTTGAATTAATTATCATCAGGAAACATTTTTCCCAAATTTTGCTGAAATTGAATATGCCTAGAATAAACTATTAGAGGTCAGACTCTCTGAGTTTGAACAAACACTGGCTACTGAGTCAT